AAGCAAAGGTGAAAGTGAGATTTTGAGAAACTAGAAGTGGTGAAAGATTGAAAGAATGAGTGTTGAGCAAGAGCAACAGGTTAGAGTGATGAGATGAGTAAGTAAGGTTAGGGTTAAATGATTAATAATGGATTGGGTAAAATCAAGTTAAGTTTAATTTTTACTAGATTGGGTTTGGATTTAAAGGTTGAATTAAATTTAAAATAAAATTAATTTACATATTTTTTTAAATTTTTTAAGGGAATGAGATCCCTATGGGATGAAAAAAATTCCCCACAAGATTTTATGGGAGAAAATGCCTACTGATCCAGGTTTTCAATCGTCTTCTAGGTTTTCTGTGTCTTCTGATCTCTATCTTCCTCATGTCTACTGATCCAGTTTCCTCTTCTTCTCTTCCTGTGTCTGTATCATCTGCGTCTATATATCCTACAGCAACCAGCAGTCCTACTATATCCAGTTCCTCTCCATTCAATCCAATCTCTACTTCCAATGGTATTCAATGGCCTTCACAACTCCAGTCGCCTTTGATCCCCAATCCAGCAAGTCCATTATCTCCTACACTTCCCATTCTACCTATTTCCTCAATAACACCAAATCCAATGGCCTCCAATACGTTCTCACATCCTGTATTTATAGTCTCAAATATCAAGAACTTTGTTCCAGAGACTTTAAACCATCACAATTTCATTGTTTGGCGAGAGCTAATGGTTCCAGTTTTGAAGAGCAAAGCTGTTTATGGTCATATTGATGGCACAGATCCTTGTCCTCCATTTGGCAGTCCAAACTTTGAAGCCTGGATGCAAATTGATTATCAAATTCTGTCCTGGATTCAAGCAACAATTTCCACTGAGGTGTTACAGATGATCATACAACCAGGGAGATCTCTATCGGCCAAGGAAACATGGGATGCAATTCATACCGCCTACCACAATCAATTGGCTGCTCAAACTTTGTTTCTTCAACAAGAGTACTCTTCTATGCGTAAGCAACCAGGACAATCTATGCTTAGCTATCTACAGCATGTGAAAGGACTGATTGATAAGTTGCATGGTGTTGGGCATCCAAAAACAGACCATGATTTAGTGTTTCAAGTGCTTGCTGGTCTTGATTCTGAGTACAGTGTTGCTAAAAGAACAATACCTCAACGAAATCCCTTTCCCAGTTTCTTGGAATTACACTCTCTGTTGTTGATTGAAGAAGCCACTCTTCTTCGTGAAGCAGCAAATCGACATACTCAACCTGTGATTTCTCCCAATAATCCACAGTTGCTTCACCTCTTGCATCATCCGCAAACACCGGCTGTTCCATCTGCTGCATCCTGGGATACTTCTTCTGGTAACCATCATCAACTTTATTCTTTGACTACTTCAACTCGAGGAGGACGATGGTCTGGTCACAGAGGAGGTCGTGGTAGTTTCCGGAGTACTCGTGGGCGTTCCTATGGAGGTTCACGTCACCCTAGTTTTTCTACAAGTTCTGGACGTGGATCTGAATTTTCTGCAACTTCTCATTTTCAAGCTGTCAAACAGATCTTACGACATTTAAAGGGCACCATGGACTATGGTTTACAGCTATATCATCATTCTTTGCTTTCTTTGCATATGTTCACAGATGCAGATTGGGTAGGTTGTGTTGATACTCGTCGGTCTATTTCTGGCTATTGTCTCTTTCTGGGCAATTCTCTTATTTCTTGGTCATCTAAGAAACAACACACGGTTGCTCGTTCTAGTGCAGAAGCCTAGTATCGTGCTCTTGCCAATGCTGCTGCTGAGGTCTTATGGGTTCATCAGTTACTTTTTGAACTTTATACTTTTCTTCCTACAGCACCGGTGCTATTTTGTGATAATCTTAGTTCTATCTATCTTTCTCTTAATCCCATTCAGCATCAGCGCACTAAGCATATTGAGATTTACATTCATTTTGTGAGAGAAAAGATTGCTTCTGGGATTTTGTCTATTCATCATGTTTCTTCATATTTTCAGCGTGCTGATGTCTTAACCAAGGCTCTTTCTATGCCTTTGTTTCATGCTTAGAGGGCCAATTTGAACGTGATTTGTATGCCCGCTCAAATTGGGGGGGGGGTGATAATGTATATATTATAGTTGTATATTTGTAAAGGGTAGTTAGGGTATTTCTTACAATATACCACATGTATAAATACTCTTTTACAATAATGAAAACCCTAAAGAGGCATTATCTTCTACAATTATTATGATGATGATGATGTAAACACTCTAAACAGCAACAAGAAAAATTAATCTGACCTCATGTTGCAAAGCATGCAATCCAAGATCCTGGACCACACACGGCGTGCACGCGGGCGGATCCTATTTCTATATCCTCTCGATCCCCTAACAAGAC